CAAGAGTGTACGTATTTCTAGGCTTTGAATTATACAATTATTTTGTAGAGTTTAATTTTAAGAGCGCAATAATCCAGCTCAGAAGATCGTATGTTGTCTGGCTGCTTAGTGCACAACAACGTTGACTGGACGCTGCGAGAATATAAAATTTGTATAACTAATTTGTTGGACGATTATATAAAATTGTTTGCTCTCATTACTTCTGCTGGTTGGTTAAATTTGACAATTTCACAAATTTGTTATTCTTACTAACTTAATCTCGTAGACTGTTTATGCGGGCCATTTTCTTTTTTAACTAAAGTGGCAACATTCACAAAATTAAAATCATGCAGCCTTCAGATGGTTGTGTATATTTTATTTTAAGCATTCATATTTTTTTACATTTATTTTTGTATTGTTGGTCAGATAACGTAACAGCGGAAATATTGGTTTTATAAAGCTTAAAAAAATAGTAATATACAATGTACAAGTTACAACAAAATGTACTGAAACAGTACTTATCAATGATGAAAGTAATTTACTAATACCTAGAATATCCCAAAAAAGATGAAAACTTCGCAGTCATTTTTAGATATGATTATTTATGTTTTACCAACTTGAAACTGACAAAATAAGTAAATGAATAGGATAATATACGACTCGGAGCTTCGCAACTACATATCGTAATATATAAAAAAATTCAACATGGCCTGTCACTGGATGAATTCTTTAAATTCTACATTGCAAAGTTCCCTTAGTAGGCATAAACTGTACGGCCGGTTTATTTTTATCTGGAATGTGTTCTGAAAATCTGCATTTTAACCAGCTAATACTTATTCAGACTGTTTCAGACAAATGCAATAATTATTGTCGTTAACCATAATATTATGTCGAGTTGTTAGCGCGATTCAAAGGGCACTTTTTTCCTTTGAATCCTTCGCAGTCAGATTGGTTAACCGTGCCTTCACCGGAATGTTTCTTGAAAAGGGAAAATAAATATCTTACGGGTTAACTGTTACCCTTGCAATTAAATTAAACACTCTAGAGAGGCGCCTGTTTCATTTGTTTCATTCAGAGATCCTGTTCTTGATCTTTGGAACAAACGGGGGTTCTTAGGTTAACCACTTTGGCATTCATTTCATTATTTTGTGGACAATTTGCTCAGAATTTCCTTCAG